GGGCTCAGTGGTGTCTTGCTGAGGCCTACTTGTGATGCTTTGGCTCCTTCAGGCCTCTCCCGTTTTCTGGATTCCTGTGTTTTTGTCTTGCTAGTATTTGCCTTTTCCCATTCAGTGTGTCTGAGAAATCAGTCCAGCGGAGAGTCTGCAGTTCCCCCTTCCCCATCTTGGCATTGGTCCGGGACCTTGAGTCATCGATGGCCCCAAAGAGCACCTGACTTTGCTAAAGCTCACTGTTCAGAAGACTCCCATGGGATACATTTGTAGTAGCACATCTTAGGGATGCAAACTTTTCATCCCCAAAATAATAGTGCCAACACAACTTGAAGCACAACTTTCTAGCTGTAAAATTCTTTTGAACTAAAGTAAATGTGATTGGTAAGAGGATTTACAACCTAAATTCTAAAGTAGGAGTTGGTATAATAATAGGGCATAAAATAACTACCATATGTAGTTACTTTATGAGCACTTTACCACCCTCTGTTGCCAAGATTTTTAAGCATCTCTTTTGTAGGTTGTTTTCATTTTTCTTCAAGTATTTGTTATAAAATTGCATTTGCATTCACAAACATTTATGGGTTTTTTTACATTACATATAAAAAAATAACCACTTTTTAAAAAACCACATCTTCTTTATCCATTCATTTGTTGAAGGGCATTTGGGCTTTTTCCAAGATTTAGCTATTATACACCGTGCTTCTATAAGCATGGGTGTGCATATATTGCTGTGACAGGATGCTTTTAATTTTGGTGGGGGAAGATACCAAGAATGGGAGTAGCTGGTTCATATGGAACCTCTAGTTTTGCCTTTTGAGGAATCTCCATGGTGATTTCCACAGTGGCTGCACCAGTCTGCACTCCCACCAGCAGTGGAGCAGGGTTCCTCTTTCCCCACAACCCCACCAGCATTTATTATTGGTTGGTTTCTTTATAGCAGCCATTCTTTCTGGCGTGAGGTAGAATCTCAGTGTTGTTTTCATTTGCATTTCTTGAATGACCAGTGATGTTGAACATTGTTTCATTTGTTTATTTCTACTTTGTTGTCTGAAAATTACCTGTTCATTTAAGATGCTCACTTTTGGATTGGGTCTTTAAATGGGGGAGGGCTGATGTTTTTCAATTCTTTGTATGTTCTAGATATTAATCCTTTGTCTGAGGGACTGTTGGCTAGAATTTGTCCTCACTCAGTGGGTTGTCTGTTCACTCTGTTGGTGAATTCTTTTGCAGTGCAAAAGCTTTTTAGTAGGGTGAGATCCCAGTTGTTGATTCTTTGTATTATTTCCTGTGCAGTCCGAATTTTGTTCTTGAAGGCTTTGCTTACCCCTACTCCCTATTTTCTCTTCCAGCAGATTTAGTGTTTCTGTTTTAATATTTATGTCTTTGATCCATTTTGATTTTGTTTAGTGCATGGTGAGACACATGGGTCTAGTTTTAATCTTTGCATGTGGAAAGCCAGGTTTTCTAGCACTACTTATTAAATAAGTAAGGTGTTTGGCCCCTTTGTTAAAGATGAAGGCTGAGTGTGTTTGAGGTTCTTTCTGTATCTACTAATCTGTTCAGTGGATCCTCAAGTCTGTTTTTTTGCCAGTACCATGCTGTTTTTATCACAGTAGCTCTGTAGTATAATTTTAAGTCAGTGATTATGATGCCCCCTGCCTTGCCTTTGTTGTCCAGAATTGTTTTTCTATTTTGCTATTCTAGGTTTCTTCTGGTTCCAAATGCATTTTAGAATTGTTTTAATTCTGTGAGCTATGCTGCTGGGATTTTGATTGAAATTGCATTACATTTGTAATTTTGGAAGTATGGCCATTTTCACTGTATTGGTTCTTCCTATTCGAGTAAGGAATATTTTTCCATTTCTCATATCCTCTTTGATGCCTTTTTCCCACAGTACTGCAGTTTTCAATGTAGAGATCTTTTACCTCCTTTGTTAAAGTGTTTCTTAGGTATTTCATTTTTTTCCATGTTACTGTGAAAGGTGTTGTTTCCCTAATTTTTCTCTCAATGAATTTGTTATTCATAGAGAAGAAGGTTATTGATTTTTTTGAGTGTTGATTTTATATTCAGCTGCACTACTGAATTTGGTGATTAAATCTGTAAGTCTTCTGGTAGAGTTTTTTGGGTCTTCTATACAGTGGAGTACTACTCAGTCATAAAGAAGGATAAATGAGGCATTTATAGCTAAATGGATGCACTTTGAAGTTTTATTTTTAAGTGAAATAAGTTGGACACATGTGTGTAAATATTGCATTGTCTGTGATGTAAGAAACTGAAAATGTAAATAGGGACTAAAATGTGTAATAGTGTGAAAGAAAAAAAGTTTGTTCAAAAAGAAGGGAAACTACAGAAGGGGAGTGAAAAAGGAAGGAAAGAAAAATGAAAAAAGAAGGATAAAATGGAAACAAGGCTTTGTAAATAAGGAGGGGAAGAGGGATTGAAGGGAGGGGAGGGGAGGGGAAAGGGAAAAAAAAAAGGAATCAAGATATATCATTACAGGTACAAATTCCTTATGATGAATGTGATTCTTATGTGTATCTAAAATGTACCAAATAAACTTAATAATTGAACAATTTAAAAAAATAAAACATATAAACATTTAATTGTTGTATTTATAAAATTGTCTAATCTGTGGTTTAATGGGGCAAAATTTAAAAGTCTCACAATCATACATTTTTACATTTATGTATTCATTACTTTATTCTGGGCATTGAAACCAAGCCCGCACACTTGCCCACCACCCTCTCTGCAGGAGCGCAGCCCATGCATGTGTTCTGGGTTTTCATCCTGTGTAGTGAGAACCCTTAAACATCCAGCCCTTATTTAAGTAGTCATATAACAATAGGTGGGTGGGTGCCAGCAGCATGAAGCCTGTGTAGATGGTCTTTTACTGTATCCACAGTGACCCCAGGCTCGTGGCTCACACTCAGGACTGGCCTTGGGTGTGTGTGGTCTGTAGGCCTCAGTGTCTTTCTGTTTTATCCAGTACTGTGAGCTTTGCTGACCCCTTCCTTTACTCTCTTGATCCCTTTCCTGTTAGAGAAAGAACTTTCTCCCTTCTTCCTATTATCTCTTTTATTTTGCACTTCATTTATAATTTGAGTTGTTTATATAAGGGAGACTGTGATATTTAAGCTGTGAGTCTGATTTATTTCAGTTAACATTATGGTCTTGAGGTGCATCCATTTCCTACAAATGACTTATGTTGATCTTTGTTTGTGGCAGAGTAGTGCTCCACTGGGTATAAATACCACATTTTTCTTATCCATTCATCTGTTGATGGAACCTAATGGCTATTTCCATGATTTAGCTATTAATGAATTTGCTGCTATATACATAGGTTTGTAGTATATCATTCAATATAATATTCATTGTAAAATATTAAATTGTAACTTACAAACTAGAAGCAAATTTTTAGGTATATTGAAGAGTTAAGGAATTTTAATTGTATTAAAATAGGACATTTTATTTGTTTGTATGTTTGTTTGGTACTGAGAATCGAACTCAGGACTTGCGCTTGGGAGGTAGGAGGCAGAACCATTGAGCTAAATCTCTGGCCCAAAATAGGGTATTTTAAAGTTCAAGTCATTTTAATTTCACAAGGAGCAATGTGACTCACTAGATAAATTTATAATATTTTTTGTGGCAGAATTTTTCTATTTTAGAAATGTATTCTAGTTTTGTCTAAATATGTATATGAATGAATATATGTTTTTTTTTCAGTGGCACTGGGGATTGAACCAGGGCCTTCACACTGACTTCTATCTGCCATCCTTTTTTGAGGCAGGATCTAACTATGTAGCCAAGTGGTGCTGGAAGTTATGATCCTACTGCCTCAGCCTCCCAGAGTGCTGGGATTTTAGGGGTGTGCCACCATGCCAGCTGAATATATGAACATTTTAAAAGGATTTTTCAAATGTTCATGTTTCTGGTTTTGATTTTCATAGAAATACTTTTTGAGCAGGAAAAGACATAGTTGATGACTAAGTGCAACTGGTAAACTTATAAATGAATAAAATTTAGTATATAAAGTGGTTAGAGTTCTTTGCCAAGAACACAAATGGTAGAATGAGAATGTTGATTTTCCTGTTTTATTCCTCTCACGTGATTTTTTTGTGTGATAATTTCATTCATGACACATGAAACATTGTGAACCACCATATCAACAGGGTTATAAAAAGAATAGGAATTCCCAAAGAAATTGCTCAGAATGCCTAATTGGGAAAAAATGGCTCAGTAAAATAATTTTGTGGAAGAATTAAAAAAAAAAACTAGACTGATAATATCATACTTATTCCAGGGGCCAAAGGAGAATTTTGGGAGTGGTGAATAAGTGAGGGCATGGCCTGCTCATTAGTGCCTGGGCTCCGGGTTCTGCCAGGTTCCCTGTGTGCTGGGGCAGGGAGCAGCGCCAGCTCCATCCTGGCTCAGCCTGGACTGTGGACAGGAGGGTCTGACTTGGCCGTGCTCCTGCCTCAGGCCAGCTTATGTATGGTTCAGGAAAAACCCTCTTCCCGCTTCTTCCCCCTAAAAAGTCTACAAGTTGATTTGAGACTTTAAAAAGATGAGTACACTTTTTAGGAGAAAGAAATACTTAACCTGAGCAAAAGTGAGTTACATAGGAGAATTACTTCTGTTTTACACTTTGGATGTTTTTATAGTTTGCCTTCGAGGTATTTCCCACCCTTACTGGAGTATTCTAAAGCTGAACGCAGAAGGTTGGAAAATAAACAAACACAAAGCACATTCTTGCTTATTCTCCTTTACTGCGTTATTAATTTGAAAACATTGTGTTGGAATTTTCCAGAGAAGTCATGACTGAAACTTAAGAATTTGAATGTTTCCTTGTCATTTTGTGTTAGGAATAACTAAAGGTTACTCTTTCTTTTTCTCCAATGTGCACTTTTTGTAATTTTGAAATCTTTTTATCTGAATGGCTGACACAAGTTAATATTTCTTGAATCTCTGAGGTTGTCCTCACCTGACTTTTTCCCCTTTTCTAGTTTCGGCAAGCGTTCTGCAGGAAGCTTTAGGCGAGGCTGCGAGTGCATTGTCCTAGAGCCTTCCGAGATGATTGTGGTAAGATATTTCTGTAAAGGCCCCTGCCAAGTTTTTATGAAATAATGGTGTTTTCACAAACTACTGATAGCAGCCCACTTTTATTTTCATAAGATGAGATATATGCACATTAGATCTTCTTTTTCATAACCTCACATTATGAGTTTGGGTTCGTAACCATAATGCAGGCATGTGTAGGATTCAGGTAAATTTAAATATTAGAGGGTTGAAAAGGGCGAGTTACCCCAGTGTGGTGTTCTTGAACTTTGTAGTCAATCATGGTACTGCCATTTAATTGAACTTTGGGGAAATCTTTGACTTGTAGAGTTTTAGATCTTAGTGTGTTTTGGAAAGAATGACTTAGTTTAGATGCACCACAATGATACATATTCAAGCGATAATACAAGGTATCACTTCACTTTATGTAATTGAAAGAAAGCTTGGCAGGACTTAGCTGATTAGCATGCTTTTGTCATCTTTATATTTCAATTGAGATTTTAAAATATATTGAGATATATTATATGTAATAACAAAATAGATATGATTTTTAGAGCAAATATCCATCATGTGTCTTCCTTGCTGTACAGACATGGTTTTAAGATAGGATACCTTGTTTTTAACAAGTCAGTGACAACATATAGATGAGCTCAGGACCATGATAGAAGCCATGAACGCTCAGCATAAGAAAGAGATGAAAACAGTGAATGCCCAACATAGGAAAGAAATGGAATCCATAAAACAGATTCAAACAGATATCCAGGAGATTAAAAACTCTATTGAAAGTGTTGGCAACACAATAAAAGAATGCGAAGAGAGGCTCTCAGATATAGAAGATAGGATTGCAGTCAGTGACCGTGAAAAGAGAGGTCTCTTAAAAACAGTAAGGGAGCATGAGAGATCGATCCAACAACTCCTAGGTGATGCAAAGAAGAATAACATAGACTGACAGGAATCCATGAAGTAGCAGGAGAAAATGCAAATGACTTTAAAAAGCTGTTCACAGAATTAATGACAGAAAACTTCCCAAACAGAGGGGAAGAATTTGACATACAAATAAGAAGCATATAGGACTCCAACTACCCACGATAAAAAAAAAAAATCTATACCTAGATATATAATAATCAAGATCCCAGAAATCCAACGGAAGAACAAAATACTACAAGCAGTAAGAGAAAAGAAAAAAATCACATACAAAGGAAAGGCCATCAGAATCACAGCAGACTTTTCAACACAAACCCTCATGTCAAGGAGAGCCTGGAGTCCTAAAAGAAAAGAACCTCCAACCTAGACTGATGTATCCTGCAAAGCTCTCTTTCAAAATGGATGGGGAAATAAGACACTTCCACAACAAAGAACACCTGAGAAACTTCATGAATACCAAACCAGCCCTACAAGGAATTCTAAACAAGATCCTAGAAAAAGACAGTGAAGGTCACAAAGACCCATGAGAGCCATGAGGCCCAACAGAGCAAATCAAATAGGCAAGGCAAGAAATTAAAAGGAGAGGGGGAAAAAGTACAAAGAGTCAACCAAAGGACAATAATGTGACAATAAGTCAGTACATACCAGTTACAACCATCAATGTCAATAGCCTCAACTCATCAATCAAGAGAAATAGACTGGCAGAATGGATTAAGAAGCAAACTCCAACAATATGTTGTATACAAGAAACACACCTAGTGCAACAAGAAGTCCAGAGACTGAAAGTGAAAGGATGGAAAACAATTCTCCATGTGACAGGACCCAGAAAGAAGCGTGGGTAGCAATCTTACTCGCAGACAAAGTAAATTTCAAACCAAAACTGATTAAGAGAGACAAAGAAGTTCACTACATCCTTGTAAAGGAAACAATTCAAGAGGAAGAGATGACAATCATAAACATATATGCACCAAATATTAATGCCCCCAACTATATAAAACAAATATTAAGTAACATGAAAAAACAAATAAGCACTAATACAATTGTAGTGGGGGATCTAAATACCCCACTATCACAAATACACAGATCTTCTAGGCAAAAAATTAACAACAAAATACTAGAACTGAACTAAGCTTTTGAACACATAGACTTAATGGATGTCTATAGAGTGTTCCACCCCACAAAATCATATTATACTTTCTTTTGGGCTGCACATGGATCATTCTCCCAGATAGACCATATACTAGTTTACAGAACAGGTTTGAGTAAACGCAAAAGAATCGGAATTATCCCTGTATATTATCAGATCATAGTGCAGTCAAGCTGGAGATCAATAGCATAAGAAGCCATAGGAACTTCACAAACACATAGAAATTGAACAACACTCTCCTCAGCAATCAATGGGTCACAGAGGAAATTAAAGAAGAAATCAGACAGTTTTTACAAATAAATGATAATGCCAGTACAACATACAGGAATCTTTGGGACACAGTGAAAGCAATTCTATGTGGAAAATTCAAAACACTGAATGCCCACACTAGGAAAATAGAGCAAGCTCAAATAAACAACCTAATGATTGATGAATCTTAGACTCCTAGAAAAACAAGAGCAAGAAAGACCCAAAGCTCATACAAGAGAGGAAATTATAAAGATTAGAGCAGAAATCAATGCAATGGAAACTTAAGAAAATGATACAAAAAAATAAATGAATCAAAGAGTTGCTTTTTGAAGGAATAAATCAAATCAATAAGCCCTTAGCTAACCTTATCAGAAAAAGCAAAGAAAAGGCTCAGATCCATGCAATCAAGAATGAAAAAGGCGAAGTCACAACAGATCCAGCAGAAATCCAGAGGATCGTCAATACCCACTTTGAGAACCTGTACACTAATAAAATGGAAAACACAGAAGAAATGGACAGATTTCTAGATACTTAGGAATTACCAAAGTTGAACAAAGTAGTTCAAAGCATTTTAAACACCTGAATTACAATCAGTGAAATTGAAAATGTAATCAAAAGTTTACCAACAAAGAAAAGCCCAGGCCCTGATGGATTCACTGCTGAATTTTACAAGACATTTAGAGAAGAACTACTGCCACTACTCTTTAAACTTTTCAGTGAAATTGAAAGGGAAGCAATACTTCCAAATTCATTCCTGGAAGCAAGTTATCACTTTGATTCCCAAACTAGAGAAGGACCCAACTAAAAAAGAAAACTACAGGCCAATCTCCTTAATGAATATAGATGCAAAAATCCTGAATAAGATACTAGCAAACAGAATACAGAGGATCATCAAGAAGATCATACACCCCGACCAAGTCAGATTTATTCCAGGGATGCAAGGATGGTTCAACATATATAAGTCAATAAATGTAATACACTATATTTACAAGAGTCAAGGACAAAAACCATATGATCCTCTCGATAGATGCAGAAAAAACATTTGACAAAATTCAACAACCATTCGTGATAAAAACTGTGCAAAAAATTGGAATAGCTGATCTATATCTCAACTTCATAAAGGGTATCTATGAAAAACCAACAGTGAACATCATATTAAATGGCCAAAAACTGAAAACCTTCACATTGAAATCAGGAACAAGACAAGGATGCCCACTATCACCACTCCTCTTCGATATAGTTCTGGAAACATTAGCCATAGCAATTAGACAAGAGAAAGAAATTAAAGCAATAAAAATAGGAAAGGAAGAAGTTAAACTGTCATTATTTGCTGATTATACTCTACATTGAAGACCCAAAAAACTCCACCAAAAGACTTCTAGACTTAATTGACACTTCTAGCAGAGTAGTTGGATACAAGGTCAACACTTAAAAATCAATAGCCTTCTTGTACACAAATAATAGACTCACTGAGAGAGAATTAGGGAAACAATTCCTTTCACAATAGCATCCAAAACAGTGAAGTATCTAGGAATCAATCTAACAAAAGAAGCAGAATACCTCTACACTGAAAACTACAGCACTCTGAAAAAAGAGATCAAAGAGGATATAAGAAAATGGAAAGATATCCCCTGCTTCTGGGTAAGAAGAATCAACATAGTAAAAATGTTCATACTACCAAAACTGCTATACAGATTCAATGCAATGCCAATTGAAATTCCAACACTATATTTTACAGAACTAGAAAAAAGAATCCAAAAATTCATTTGGAACCATAGGAGACCTGGAATAGCAAAAGCCATCGTAGGCAACAGAGACATGGCAGCGGGTGTAACAATTCCCAATTTGAAACTCTACTACAAAGCCACTGTGAGAAAAACAGCATGGTACTGGTAAAGAAACAACCCGAGGATCAGTGGAACAGACTGGAAGATACAAAAACAACTCCAGATGTACTCAGTTACCTCATCTTTGACAAAGGAGCTGACCGTCCTCACTGGAGGAAAGATAGCCTCTTTAATAAGTGGTGTTGGAAAAGCTGGATTTCAGCCTGCCAAAGATTAAAACTTAGACCCTTTTCTTTCACCATGCACTAAACTAAAATCCAAGTGCATTAGAGATCTAGATATTAAAACAGAAACACTAAACTTGCTGGAAAATAAGTTAGGCAGAACTCTGGAAGACATTGGCATAGGAAAAGACTTTATGAACAAATCCTCAGTAGCGTGGAAACTAGCAGAAAGAATCAATAACTGGGATCTCTCTCATCTTATTGAAAAGCTTCTGCACTGCAAAGGAAACCATCAACAACTAAGAGACAACCTACAATGTGGGAAAAAATTTTTACCAGCTATTCCTCAGACAAAGGATTCTTATCTAGAATATATAATGAACTCAAAACAATCAGCACCCCCACAAATATAAAGACCTGATTTAAAAATGGGCATTTGAAATGAACAGACATTTCTCAAAGAAGTAAAAGCAGCAAATAAATATATGAAAAAATGTTCAGCATCACTGGTCATTCGAGAGATGCAGATGAAAAAAACACTGAAATTCTATCTCACGCCCCAAAGAATTGCTGCTATCAAGAAATCAACCAATAACAAATGTTGGCGGGGTTGTGGGGAGAAAGGAACCCTTGTCCATTGTTAGTGGGAGTGCAGACTGGTGCAACCACTATGGAAATCAACAAGGAGATACCTCAAAGAACTGGGACTAGATCTTTCATTTGACCCACCCATTGCTATGTTGGGTATCTATAGCCTACGTTTATAGCGGCACAGTTTGTAATAGCTAAAAGTTGGAAACAGCCCATTTGCCCATCAATTGGAGACTGGATAAAGAAGATGGTTTTTTCCTATAAAGTGGAATACTACTCAGCCATAAAGAATGAGAAATTAGACTCATTCAAAGGAAAATGGATACATATTAAGGATATACTCCTCAGTGAAATAAATAAGTCACACATGTATAAATACCGAATAGTTTCTCTGTTGTGAGAAACTATAAGTGTACATAAGATTCTAATGAGATAATTGACAGTGTTAAATAGGAAGAAAAGGGCTAAAGGTGTAGGGAAAGTGTGAAGGGTAGGAGAAAGGTAATAAAAAAATATGAGAAAATGGAAATAAAGTGTAAATGGGGAGGCGAGGAGGGGATGAAGGGAGGGCAGGGACAAGGGGAAAAAATGAGAACCAAGACCTGTCCTGTAAAGGTACAAGATCCCAATAATAATGTAACTATACTGTATACCTAAAATGTAGCAATAGAATCAATGAGAAAAAAAAAGTGACAAAAGCAAGCTGCAGGGCTACAGGCCCATACCTTATCTGAGGCTGACCCTTGTCCAGCAAGCTCCTTGGAAGGAGGGCACTTTCACAAAGTAAGTGATGGCCTGATAGAGGTGACAGTGAAATCTTTTTATTCATATTTGATAAGGTATTTGGTGAACAACTCTGAATCTATTTTCAGAGAAGATTAGCAGTTTCCCCAGTGATGCAGGAGAGGAATTCTACCATGATAAGAAGTTCCTCATCAAAGCTACTAAAAAGTTGCGGTAAAATTTCACAAAATTTAATCTTACACGAAAAAGTAGCATGGTGATGAGTGAAGCTTCATTATTGGGGAAAAGTAGGCAGACACAAAGACATCACAAGTTTCTGAGGCATTCTAGACTCTTTGCTCTGTTGATGCTGTTTTTGTGTTCATCTGAAGGATTTTTGGTTTTCAGAATATCTGTTGTACTCAGCATTTGCTGTTACTCTAAACTGCTGGGCTTTCCATGTGAGCATAGTTGCAGAATCCAGGCTGCCTCTACACGAAAAGTGTCATTTCAGTGCAGGTTTGGGGTCAGAATAACCTGAAAAACTTCTGTTGTGTTTAATCCACTCATCAGACTTCCTAAAATGTTTAAGATGAGGAATTTTTAAAGCAATGCTACGATGAAAAGAAAACTAACGCCACACAAGGAAAGTAAGAAGAGAAACCCTTATTCTACCAGAAGCGTCCTGTTAACAGTCCTGGTCAAGTCATTTGGGATACATATATTATGTGTATGTGTGTGCCTGCATGCACACACTTGTGCACACATGTGCATACTTAAGAACCCTGCGAACACCAGAGTAGCTGCTTTCATAACGTGTGGTAGTGCATCCTGTGAGATCTTTCACTAATCAGTACAAAGACTACTGAAAATACCCTTTCCCTTTGAAACCACAGGAAGTTCAAGAGTTCCCATGTTGTCTAAGTGGAACTGAAACTGCCTCTTCATAGAAACTAAGCGGCTCAGAGCCAATTTGTTTCAGGCAATGAATGTGGGCTCCTTGTAAGTTTCTTTCTGTGTCTGCTACTTCTGTGGAGTTTCATATCTGGAGAAACAAAGTGTCTTGGAACTTGTATTTCAGGTGGACTATATGGATGAAAATGAAGAGTATTTTCAGCGTCAAGCCTCTCATAGACAGTCTCGAAGAAGATTTAGAAAAATCAACCAGAAAGGTGAAAGACAAACAATTATTGATACTGTGGATCCTTACCCTATGGGCAAACCACCCTTGCCTAGAGGCTATCATACGGTAAATTACACAGATGTGATGTCTTTATTTTATTTTTTGGAAGTTGGGTGAAAAGACATTTAAATTTTCATTTTGGATGAGTACTTTTCTATAATATACAGAATGTAAATTTTGCTGGAAGCACATGATATGAATAGTTTTTAGAAGGCTTTGAAATAATATGTCAAAAACAGTTTCGCTCTTTTATTTCCTAAAGTTTTCTCTGAAGATCAGCTTTGGGATAAGCATGTACAGTTATTATTGATATACTTTAAGTTATCTTACCTCATTCCAAAATTTTAGCCTCTTCCTGTGATCTTCCCCCTCAGTATCATATAGCATTTTTATTTAAAAAGTAGATGCGTAAAAATTACATACTATTTTTCATATTATTGTGAGAATATTATCTGAGTGTCTTTTTCATGCAGTCAACCGAAGTAAAAAGTTTAAAGTGATTTTTTTTCCCCCTGCTACTATGGGGAGTGAACCCAGCACCTTCACACTGAGCTACATTCTCAGCCCTTTTTATTTTATTTATTTTTATTTTTTATTTTTTGGGTACTGATGATGGGACTCAGGATCTTGTGCTTGCAAGGCAGGTGGCTGCGCCACTGAGCTAAATCTTAGGCCCCTTTTTTAACTTTTATTTTTGAGACGGAGTCTCACTGAGTTGCTGAGTTGCCCAGCTGGGCTTGAACTTGCTGTCCTGCCTCCTGGTAGCAAGGGCCAGGATGGCTGGTGTGAACCACCTCACCCAGCGCTGAGGGTGACTTCTGAGACTTTGTGTGAGGGCTTTCTGAGATAGCTCTCATTTGGAGCTCCTCTTTCATGCTGTAATCTACTTTAGTGTCCTTTATTTAATGAAGATTTGATAAATTTCTTTTATGTGTGAAGAAACCAAGACATAGATAATGTTTTATACTTGACCTTCATAAAGTCAGTTGAGAGCCTTATTTTCCTCATTCCTTTATGAAGTGCAAGATAAGTATCTTACACATTATTTGAATGGTCACTGTGTAAACTTAATTTAAAAATAAATACACAATAAAAGTAGGTAATTGATACCTACTTTACACTTTTCAGTTTTTCCTTATTTCTGCAAATATAAGTGCAGAATGCATGGAAAATATCTGTAGACTTAAAATTACTCAGTTTTTATAACTTTTTGATGCTCATTCTTCATATATATTCTTTTTCCTAGAGACCTCTTTGTATGTAAACATTAAACGTGTTTTGGCCACCAGCAGACCTGCCTGCTTCTTTTGCTAACCATGCAGTGTTTTAATAGACCATGACTTTCATAGCTGAATCATTTCATTGAAGTCATTTGTTAAGGGCTGCTTTTTGCTTATCACAAAGACAGCTTTGTTGGTCTCTTGAACTTGGTATTTAAAGAAAGAAAAACCCATGAAAGGTTTTTTGTTACCATTATCAATTAATAAAGGTATATTTTTAGTGTTAATGTAGCATCATGGAAAAAAAAGGAAATGTTTATTAAAAGAATTGTACGTATTAATAGTGCACATAGCTTATAATATTTTAGTCTACTACTAATAATGTTCTTTGTGCTTTGGAATTAGTCTTCCAAATTGGTTTCCAAACCAAGATAGTCAGAGGTAGTATTACTTAAAATTTAATGTTGAAGTTGACTGGTTTAATTTCATATTCATACTTGCTATACTTAAGTTGGGAGGGTTGTTTTATAACTTTCTCCCCCTGTAGACTACTTTATTTGCTTTCCATGTGTGCTTCCCCTTTCTTGCTGTTTTAAAAAATGAATGGTATATTCTTGTATTGCTACAAGATTTTTTATTAATGGGTTTTGACAGTATTTTACCTGGTCAACAGGACTTTTAGGGATAATTCAATGCTAAGATGAAAACTTCAACTTGATTATTAATGGATCATATGCGAGTATACTGGTAGTGACATTAAGCATTCATTTACCTAGTGAGTTAATATTGGTGGCAACATTGTCATAATTCAAAGCATTGGATCCTTTTTTGGAGGTACAGATTTTGTATACACCTTATTATTTTACCTAAATGCACAATTTTATTTTGTGTTTTTGATATCAGACAGTAAATATAATTAAATGAAAATTACTCACCAGTAGCCTTAATTCGTATTTTTTATTCTTAGCAGAAATGTTTCTTTTCAAAGGAATTTTTCTTAATAGGATGGGGCTGAGGTAGAAAGTTCATTTGAAAGAGTGCATGAACGTACTTAGCAGGTGATTTAAAGCAATTGCAAGTGCATGATGAGAAAGAACGCAGAGAGCATTGTACATGTAGCCAGTTCTGTATGGTCATTCTTAACCGGAGTTTAACATTGCCTTCTTCATTTCTGCAGATGTAATACAGTATAGCATGTCTGGTAACGTTCATCTTTTCCTTTCCTCTTTCATGGCACTCATTTCATTGTGGCTCAAAGGAATGCACTAAATCTCAGGTATTGTAATTTATGTGTGGTCTCTTGACACTAACCTGTTTATTTGTGTATTTGCATCATTGCTAATGAGTTTATAATACATGATGTGCTTTGCTCGGTCTTGTTCTCCTGCATTCTGACCTCATTCAGTAAGAGCTCCTAGAACTTTGAACCTGAGCAGTTTCATGCAGCGTGGCAGAGGCTGTCATGTAGCTTTTATTGCGCTGCACAACTTCACCCTCTTTTGCCCACTCGCTGCTCCTCACAACTCTTGATCCCCTTCCCAGTTGCAAAAGCGCTATTTCTATTTTTTAAAATTCTTTATTTTATCCCATTTTGCTTCCTTCCTTCATGTTTCCTGTCTCATTTCCCTTCCTCTTTGAAAAACATTTCCTTACCTCCTATTATCTTTATTTTGTTCTTTACTCATATTTTAAGGTTTTCATATAAGAGAATTGTGCAATATTTAAGCTTGTATGTCTGATTATTTCATGTAACTTAATGCTCTCAAGTTGCACCCATTTACCTATGAAGGCCTCAAGTTTTTATAAGGTTGCTTTATTTGTACTGTTCTAGAGATGGCTTGTTCACCTTCTTTGAAGAGAGAATATGAGTGTAACCTGTTTTTAAGAATGAATGGGCCAGGGCTGGGGATTTAGCTCAGTGGCAGCAGACCTGCCTTGCAAGTGCAGGGTCCTGAGTTTGATCCCTGGTACAAAAAAAAAGAAAAAAAAAAAGAAAGGAAAAGAATTAATGGACATTTGGTCTTCACTAACTTGCACTGCACACTGCATATAAACAGAAAAAGATGGCAGACCATGGAATTTTACTGCTTTTTGTGGGAAAGCTTATGGGAAATTCAGTAGGTTTAAGATACTATGGGTAAACACTGTAAAGTTCAGGAATCATCATGTGAGAGAACATGTTTGGAATTCACTGACAGATTTTAGTCAGAAAAAGGGGCTTAGTAAAATAGAAAACAAGAGTTTGAAGTCTTATTTTCCACCAGATTTTGACGCTTTTTACTTGAGTCTACATTTTAATTATGAGGCATGTACTACCTTGTCATTTCTTTCATGCCAGTACATAGCGAATCTGTGCTCATCAGGGTTAATCTCTTGGATCAGATTTGGGGTTGTCAGGAAATTTGGAGTTGGGGGATAAAAACTAATTTATCTCTGGAAAGTGGTTGGTTAAGTAACTACCAGTGCTTTGTGATACAAGAAAAAGATCATGAATGATTTCATTCACATTGAGAAAAAAAATCTGCCATTAATATATGTTTGGTTGATATGTAATCTTCCTTAAAAGCATGAGCTATTTGTATACCTTTTCAAATTAAAATGAAAAAGCTCTTTTGTCTTTTATACTAGAAATATGTGTTAACATTCCACCAGTGGCATGATCACCGTATTGTTTTTCAAAAGCCTTGCTAATTTTAAAATAATATGGTAAATTTTTAAAAAAATTATTTAATTCTTAGTTCTGATAATTATATGTTTTTTAATATAAAATTGTAATTACATCACTATTTGGAGCTAGTATCTGGGAAGAATATATTTTAAAAATATATCATTTAATATTTTTAAAGATCACTACATGATTGATTCTTTTTTGGCAAGAAAAATTGTCAGTCTGCATTTGATTTAAAACTTGAATTTAAAATATGCACTATGATGTGTAACTTATGTGCTCTTTGTAAAATTAGATGTGTTGCAGTATTTTAAAACTGATTATACTCTTCCTCAGAAGGGTGAACGCTCTTGTAATCCACGTACAGTGGATTTTCAAGGCAAGTATGGGAGATTTGGGGAGAGAATAAGCATTTTAACATGCAGTGAGAAGGGAAGACATTTTCTTACATTTTGATGAGTGGAGGTTGCGATGTAGTGCAGAAGGCTCCAAACCAGGACGTGGTGTGAATGTTCAGTCATCGGGTGAGTGGGTCAGGGAGACAGGTAACAGAGTGGGTTGGGAAGACGGCTCAGAGCTAAGGAGACCAGCAGGAGTTTACCTGTCTCCACATCTGAGTTGGTAGGAAGAGGAGCTTTGTTTATCCACTCTTGCTTCAGGCCTCTCAGAAATCAGCACTAATAAAAACCCAGGAGAGAGGTGGAGCTGCCAGGAACCGGACCTTGGTGGGCTCTGTGGGAAGCCCCGCACCCCTCTGTAGCCCTCTGTCCTTTCCTGCACTTAAATGAAAAACAGCTCTTTTTGTGTCCTAGTTTGGAAAGAGCAAACATTGTACAGAGAGTCACTATGCTAAAGATGGGAGAAAACTTGTTCCATCCAAACTGTGGAGGTTACATGTTCCGTCTGATGTTTCAGATGTTTCCAGTCTTCCTAAGCTAGTTGGAACATTAAAATATTCTTCAGCTTTAAGTTTGGCTTGACTCTTTACCCCTTCTTACTTGCCTCTTCCTGATGGCCCACCTTTAAACAAATTTGTATTAGGATTTGAATACAGAATAAGATAAAACATATTCACAAGATCTCAATCAACGTTATCTTTTTGAAATAATGAAAACCTATCAGTTGTGTAAAAAGATACCTACCCAGTATTTTATTAATTGTCCTTTTCTACAATGGGAATATATACTTCAGAGCCCCGTTTAATAAATATGGATTGAATTTTTCCATAGGTTTAAAATTCTTGGTTGGGGGGTATACAAAAGTAATAGAAAATATTGCATAAAATTAATATAATGTAAATCAAATAGAGAGGATACAATGCACTGTATACAATGTGACATCACTTTAATAAGAATGATTCATGTATGAGGCTTTGGAAAATCAGTCCCTTTTTTATAAAGATATTTATGATCCTTTTTGTTTTAATGGCTATGTAGATGAAACCATGCTGAAGAAATATGTAACTCTGAAGTATAGTTTTTAAGCTTTCCCATGTTTTAAAATTTAAACTTATTTTTAACTGATATGTTAAAAATTATAAATATTTATGTGGTTTCATACTTGTGTATATTGTGTAAGGATGAAATCAGGGTAAACATCTGTTTCCTCAAACATATTTATTTTTTGAGATTTGTTATTTTCTACACTTAAGGATTTCTTAGTAGGTTTTGATTAGGTTCAAAGCTGTTTATTGAAATAATTGAAATCCTATAGCATTTCATTTCTGTGATTATGACATAGTATTTAATGATTTTGAAATTTCCTTAATTCAGTATTTGCTACTGATGTGTTTTGAGTAATATTTTTTTGTGTAATTAATGATTTGTAGTCTCTGTATATGTAATAAATTAGAATATTGAGGACATGAGATTTGTCTTCAGTTCATATCACACCTTGATTGTAATCTATTCATATGATATTTAGAAATCTGCTTTCATACATATAAGAAATTATACATAGGGGAAATACCTTAGTTATTGTAATATTTCCACCCTTTTAAAATAAAGATTAATTAAGCATTTGATTGTTTAAATGAACCAAAAACATTTGTCTTTTCGTAGTGTCCATCAGTGTCTCTGTGAATTATAGTAGGTTGGAGTTTTAGGAGATTAATGTGTCATTTTTCTGGTCATGCTGGGAAAGCTCAGCACTAATTTATTATATATTTTTACTCAGTTAACAAATACTTATTAGATGCTCATCATTTTTCAGGTCTGTTCCAGATTCTAATGATAGAATCTTGCCTTCATTGACCTTGTAGTCTCCCAGGGAATAAAATAGCTCCAAATACAAATACAGGGAGGAGGTGCAGGAGAATCATAGCAGGTCCAAGTCCCTTGGAGAACATGTGCCCAGGACCTCGAGGGACCATGCCCGGCCTCCCGGGACATGTCAGGGTCTCAGCTGGTGAAAAACATTTGGCACTGCAAGAGCCCATTTGTTCACAGGCATGAGGATGAGACCACGCTATGTGATAACCCTGTGCAGCTCTAGGCTGCACTGGACCCTGAGAGCGGTCTGGTGGGTGGACAGGACTGACAGAGTAGGGGAGAGGAGAGTAGAACAAAACTGTTAAACAGCCCTGACTCTTGAATTTTGGATGGTGACTCTATTGCACGTACGTATCAGTGCTTGGTAGTTTGAAGTATATTGAAACAGATTATTCTTTTTTTCTTTTTTTTTTTCAGCTTTAATTGAGTTTATTGGTACATTTTAGGGATACAGTACAGTTACATTCACTGTTGGGATCTTGGACCTCTACATGACAAGTCTTGATTCTCATTTTTTCCCCTTACCTCTGCCCTCCCTTCACCCCCTCCCCCCCTCCCCATCTACAAACACTTTATTTTCATCTTTTCATTCTCTCACATTTTTTTCTTTTCCCTTTTTACTCTTCCCCTACCCATCCCACAGATTATTCTTTAAAACAGGAAGCTAAATAGAAATGTAAAAACTGAATTAGGCACAAAAAAAATGGAAAAAGGGGACTGTGGAAAGAATGTTACAGATGATTGATACTTTGAAAAAAATCTGCAGAACAGCAGAGTCTGGGAGAGAACACCCTCACTGTCCACACTCTTTCAGCAGGTCCTCTGGCTCCTTCTCACCTGGGTCATGCTGGCTTTAAACCCCAGGGGAAGCTCCCTGTGGGAAGGGAAGGCCCGACTGCACCCTGCTACGCTGCTGTGCTGCTGTGGTTTCTGGCAAAAGGCAGAGGCTGCAGCTGCCACAGTGGTCTCTACCTCCTTGTTTTGGGGGACTATTTCTCTCTAGCTGTTATAATTGTATTTTTATTGATTTAATTTATATGGTTGAGAAAATTACATTCTAGAGCCCAGATAGATATTGAAATGCAGATCAGGAAATAAGTTAAAAGTTAAAATGATTCCTCTCACACTATTAACAGCATGCATTACAGAGTCATGCCACACCGTTGAGAATAGTATGCAGTATGCTGTTTACCCAAGTTTCAGCTTCTGGTGGCTGATGTCTGTTTTCATATCTCACATCATCTCTGCTATACAACTGTGGTGTCCACTGGGAGTTACTGTTCTTTTGCTCCGTTTTGAAAGAAAGCTTGTCGTGATGTCATCATGGGGCCTATCCGTTGGTTGCACTTGGACATGGAGAGTAACAGGGACAGTGTGTAGCCAGTCATGGCAGTATCTCAAGCAGTTTGTCTGTCAGAGATCTTAGTGCCACTTTGTCCTGCCTCTTCTGTGCCTATACGTGTTTTAAATGTACTTGGCTAAAATTTACCTTCTGGTTGCAATAGCAAAGATCCTTTTCATGTTCAGCCATTTCATTTCTTATCATGTGATTTCTTTCTTTTTTTTCCATCATGAGACATTCCAGAGCTACATGCTGATTTGAAAAATGTCTCCTTTCTTTGGAAAAATTGACTTTGATATGCAAATGTGTTTCCTACCAGTGCTGAATTGATCTCTTCACATTAATATCAATTGAAAATATTTTTCCTGTTGAAATTTCGAGTGATTAGAAATGTTCTCTTGCTTTTGGATACAGTGTTAAGACATTAGTAATAGCTGGAAAGTATTTTCTACCCAGGTGAAATTCTGGCCTTTAATGGGGTAAATTGAAGTTATATTTGAAGTAATTTTTGAAAAGAATATCTTAATAATTTATATTAACATTACTTAAAAATACCTATTAAATGTTCTGCATATTTAAATGTACAAAATTCCCTCTTGTCTTAAAAATTAGCCATTATCTATTATATCTCAGAAGCAAACTGCTTTTTTAATATTAACTAGTAAGAAGTAAACTTTATTATTTCTCTAGCAGCTTTGTTGAGATATAATTTACACACCATATGGATCAGTTTTTTAGAGTGTGTGATTCAGTGGGTTTTCTTCTCTCGGTTGAAGATGAATTTCCACATATCATCGAGCTTACACCCTCACCATGTTCAGGAGTGTGGTTCGGTAGTATTGGACGCATCGGTAGTAACCTTCGGACTGACTTGAGCATACCTGTTTCACAGGGTGCCTAGCAGCCTTTGTGGTCATGAAAATTGTGTATGGGCTAAAAAATAACTTTGAACGTATTTTGGAAGACATAATTTCGAATATGTTGGAGAAAGCCTTTAATGAATAATTGTTTGTATTGGACCCGTTTCTTAGGGACACAGTATGGGCTCAGATAGCCTTTTTCTCCCTCAAATCTTGCCCCCTCTGTCAGATGGCAGACCAGGGGGAGGGTGTGGTACCGAATTGGGAATGGCTGCTTAAGGGAGAGACGATGAGGCATCAGACCGAACAGAGTCTGTGATACGAATTGCTGACTGGGTGACTGCTGGAGTAGTTCAGTGGGAAAGATTTGAGAATGAGAGAGAAATGCTCAGGTTGTCTTGCACCTTACCCGTGTC